ACCGGCCGAGCGGAAACAATCACAGAGGAGTTAAAAGCCGTTGCTGGTGAAAAGTTACCTCAACTTTAGGGTCAAATTTCTCGGTAATGAAAACAGATATCAAAAATTCAAATGGTAACTTTGTGCCCACACTCAAGCTGAGTAGAATGAGCTATGTTTGAAGTATTTTATCCCAAATTTGTAGGAGGAAATACATTTGGCGCGAAGCTATCCAAAAATCAGTTTTTTGGCTGTTGCTATGGCAATGGTGGGCCAAAAAAATTTTCCAGATTTTTCCTTATAACTAGGGTTAAGGTGTGACCTACCTGCCAAGTTTGAACGAAATCGGCCAAGCCAAAAAAATCACAGAAGAAATAATACGTGAACACTGGAACACTGGAAATGTACACACACAGACACACACACACACACACAAAACGACAAAAGTGATTATAAGGGCAATCCTAGCGGAGCGGATCGCCAATAAACTTGTATCGACTGCATTCTATCATAGACCCTCTACTCTCTGTTAGAGGGTCTATGATTCTATATAAAAAAAAATACCCCTATTATTACCCAGATTGGGTAATAAGAGGGGTATTTTCATAAGCTGTAATCAATTGTTTTTATTTTCGTAATAATTTAATTTAAATAAATAAAAAACGTAAATTCGTAGACATGGACAAGGGGTAAAATGACCTATTTTATTCGTCAGTAATTTGTACAAAGATCTTATTTTTTTGTGAGCGTATAAAACATTTTCAACATTAAATGTCGCAATTTGTACACAATTTCCAATTTGTATTCTTAATAACAAATTAAATGTAAAATGTAATTAGGAATTTGCTTATCTGTAAAGTTTAAAAAAGAAATATTTTTATTTTTGCGTCGGAAATCGCGTCCGACCTGGTGGCTATCGATAGATTTCGCCAGTAAACTCTAGTAAACACCAGTGGCTTGTATATGTTATACTAGTTTACGGGTTTCCTATTTCGCGAAATATAAGACCTGGTCTTCAATATGAATACTATTTTTTGACTTTACCTGGTTGTTGGAAAGTTTGCGAACAACTTGAAGTCGTTTTCAATTCTTCATACGTAGGGGATGAGTCAGATATAACGGATGGAGCTGATGTGGAGCCTAAGAACGATTTTTTTTGGAAATTCGAGTTGTTGGTCTGGTCGGGAACATAATCGATACGAAAAGCAACCGATCTATTTCGCTGGTCACCAGCGCCAATTTGAGAACCAGAGTCAGCAGGTCTCAGTGGTATCAACGGTGGCGGACGAGACACGGGGCCAGGGTGTCTTATCCAGTCGCTGTCAACGTTAGGTCCCACGTTAGCTGTGATCGGATAACACCAAGACTGATAATTATTACTATTATTACTGGGAGTTGATGTCATCGTTAAAATAAATCACTCCGAATACACGATTTCAGTGGCCAGTCAGACAAAACATGTGCGCGTGTTGGCTGCCCGGCTAGTGAATATGATTGTGGTTGATGGCACATGACTGAGGCGGTCAAAATTTAGCAAACTTGTATCAAAATTAGTTCTTGGAAGAGTCCATCTATATTCAGAGGGTTATTCGATCCGGGAGTAGTATTAGCTCTCGGTGTTAGTTGACCATTACTATGATATGTTGTATACCGTTATATGTGTTGAAATAAAAAGTATTATTTTTACTTATAACCACAATGCAAACTTTACTCCCAATTAATTCAACTATTTATTTTCGCAGCGCTGTGTACCCCTGCGTATCCCATTATCCAGACATGTAGTATCCTCCTGAAAACCCCGCGGATTTTATTTTTAGGTGTTACGAAACGATGATTATGCGTTTTATTACTGCCCCGTTATAGCAGAAATTATAGCGATAGAGATAATCGTCTGGTCGTCAGTGACCGGTCACAACCGTCAGTTAGAGTGACTGAATCAAGTGAATTGAGAGGTTTTTTTTTTTACAAATCAGTAAAACTTGATTGACAGTCAATACACGCACCAGTTGACCGCCCACCCAAACAATACGCGTGCCATGCGAAATCAGATTGGCTGAGTACAGCAAACTGGTCTAGGGTGAGCAAAATTGTGCAAAGGTACGCATCCACAACATTTGTTGCTAATATATGTGTAAAACCGATATTCATATTTTATTTATTGTTTTTTTTTTGTTTTTTTGCAAATAAGCTGCTAATAAGGGACCGCAGGTACGTGTGTACTACTTTGTTCTGAAAGTTTGACCACCGGGTCACGGGCAGATGCGTCCCGGGGATGCGTGCACTTTCACGAAACTTTACCGTGAGAGACTCAATACAACTTAGCTGAGTTGGTAATATATGTCGTGAGACTGTGCCAATAGATATCGTATATTAAAAGGGAGCGTATCGGATTGGTAACATTTGTGCCAAAAAAATTGTTTATTATATGCGACTACATGCGCAATAAAGCGATCAATATCTCTACACAAGCCGGTAGGCTGGTTGGCGATCCGCTCTGATCAAAAACAAGCAACATGTTTTTGGCTGTTTCCATGGTGTGACATAAACGTGAAGCTAACGTCGGTTTATAACTAATACGAATTTCGCAAACACCATTCAGTCTTTAGAAGTCACTTAGTTTATTACTAGGACCACAATCACTCTCCTAGTCAAGAGACTGTGTTAGGACGTATTCTGCTGTTACATTTATTATCTCCAACCGTTTTGCGATAGCATTTTCTAGAATGAAGCATTTCCTGTAAATGCTGGAAAGCGAAATAACGAAATGGTAAATATTTACCTAAATTGCCGTGTGTTGACCTTCATAATAATATACTTCATAATGCAAAACACTAGTCACGGTGAGTTATTTAAATATACAACTCCTAATCGAAAAATATGACCACAGTCCAGAATTTTAGACGGATATTAAGCAATGTAAGAGCATACCAGAAGCATTTACTCTAAAAAATAAAAAAGAACTGTAGTCAAAAGTCAAGAATGCCAGCAAATAAAGAACTCTGTCCCACAATCCTGTGTGCGCGTTATTACGGACACGCGCAAAAAACTGTACCACTTGTCAAATCTGGGTCAAATATACAGTACGCTACTATCTTGCCACAGATTGTTTAGTAGTGGAGTGTTAGGTGACCATTGAATTAGCCTGTGATTCATATTTTATGTGTATTAATTTATTCATCAATTTTCGTGATTGACAGTACTGCCCAAATTTTAGTCAAAAAAACGCAACTGGTGAAACGGAAGAGCATTGCCAGGCGATGGACGCGGGGCTCTTTGGCGACGACCGCATAGAGGTCAAAATACGCGTTCTATTTTTAGGCGTTAAATATGGCTCTTCCATTTCGCCCCCTCCGGAATGTTCTACTTTCGCAGGTTTTTCGAAAAACGTCGAAAAAACACAAGAATTAGTAGAAATGTTCCTGTTTTGGGCGGATTATTGATAGAGAATAATGTCTTTATTACAAAAATGCTGAAAAACCGTGAGTTGTTGCCTTAGTTATTTTTTTATTGGCGAAAAACTGCGAACTCGGCAAATTTGGTTGCACAATTTTCCTTTATCATATACACCCAGCGACACCGGTGCCAGCTGACTGTGTACAAAACTGGTAGGAGGTAATACATTTGGGGCGAAAG